TAGCCCTGCCATAAAAGTGTGGCCCCACAAAGTTTCCTTTCCTTTCGCTGTGCAGTAAATAAATTGAAACGAATTCAATTGGCGGCGCAATGTTTACAGGCATCGAAGACAAACAAATAAACAAACGGACGGACGGACGGAAATCGACATCATGTTGACAAACGAAAGATAAACAAATTCAAAAGTCATGGCCTCCATCTCGCCCCACTCAACTTCTTCAGTTATCAATGGCTGTCATTGGCGCCCCAGGCCATTGTCCGACTGTCCAGAGTCCGCTGTCCATTGCCGGGCACTCTCTTTTGGCGTAATAAGCTGTTTGTTTTAACGGCGCTCCACGTCGCATTTGGCCAGGCCTCTTCACCGGCGAACATAAACAAAAGTAATGGCACTGGATTCCCCGCAACGGACAAGACCACTCGAACTCCGGCAAACAGACCGAGGAAAGAAAAACACCATAACGTCATAGCCGACAACTACGACTTCATAAATTCGACTGGCGTATTTATTTATAATAATTTATTTCAATAACAACGCCGGTCGGCCATCCATCTCCCTCCCCATACATCTTTCGGAATTCGTTTTCCCCACTGACTTCATCTTCCGAAGGGGCCTGAGTGTTCGAATACCAATTTATGCATTTCAAGAACTGGGGAGCCGGCATATTTTTACAGTTTCCGATGGAATGCTTTTTGGGGAAAGTGCTTCCACCAATCGATTCGAGGGCAAAGAAAACTCCCAGCCCGGGGAATTGAATTCAAAGAGCTTACTTTACCCGAAAAGTGTGAATAAAAAAAAAGACCGACTCTGACATGATATGGTTTCCAACAGTTGTTTCCACCTGCTATCGCATTGTTAGATCTTTCATGTTTATTTAATGGCATCCAGAGACCCAACACGACATCTTTCATTATCAACCTGATTATGAACATTAGTTAAATGTTTACTTTTGTTAATCAGTTCAGTTTGTTGTTAGAGGAGAGTTTCTAATACAATATATCGGGATGTTTATGGACAAAATATGTAAAAAGAAACCATGGATTTCCATTTAGCTTCACCACTCAGGTATTCAACATTCAGGCACTGACACTGTACTTTTGGAAAAAATATCTCTCCTTCCTTTCCGGACTTCTAAAGCTTTACGGCTCCAACTACAGGTAATTCCGTACGTACCTTACGTTTTTGTTCCGTGAAATGGAAATTCGCGCTCCGAAAAGAAGGCTGTTTCCCATCCCCACCCTTTTTTCTGGCCCCGCTCGACCTTCTACCAAGGCAGGTCCCCGTGTTTTTGTGCAAGTAATTTACAGAATAGAATTCTTGATTAAATTGGAGTACATTTCGTGCTTCGTCCCGTGCCACGGCTTACTGGCGACCATCTTCTCATTTACCTAGATGGATGGTGAGCGGGGGAAGGCGGTGGGTGGCAGGGATGGCTGGCGTTAAGGTGGGCGGACCAGACCTCGCCCCAGCACCACCCACAGCACTTGGCATATAAAATGGAGCCGACGTCAGAGCCGTTTGAAGAATATTTGCTGCATATTGAAGGAACCGAAAGACCCTTACCCTTACCTGGCACTGCCCCTTCCCCCAGTGAGCCTTTGCCCTTTGCAAATCCACGCCCACCCCTGGCTTTTCCGCCCTTTTCTGCTCACCTGAGTTTGCTGAAACATGCGAAACTTATTTTGCAAGTTTTATGTCGACGTCGTCGAGCAGCAGCTTTTATTTTTTTGTTTCGTTCTTTTCTCCTTTTACATTTTTTGCCCTTTTTCCAGTTTTTCACATTTGGCTCTTTCTCTGGCTCAAATTACAAATGCACTGAAAGAAAATTATGGACTAGTCATAAATTTTAATATACTTGAAAGGCTTACCTACCAGGCTTGCCTTTACAGTCTTCATTGTTCTGCGAGCCACTCTTATTGTAAACCTTTCTTTTATTTAATTAAAAATATTATAGCAGTGTAAGGCATGCATAAAATTGTCGGCGAAAAAACTTAGAAACCCAGCCCGATTGGGGCAGCCAAGCAGGATCCACACCCTCCGGCACATCCACATCCACATCAACATCCTCAAACTCAACCTCAACCTCATCCATATCCAAAGCCACATCCACGCCCCTGGCTCGAATTGCATGGCAAGATGCCATCGCCATTTGGCTGGCTGAATCGCTGGCAGACGATGGCTATAGCGATGGCGATGGGAACCCAAGCATAAAATAGAATTTCTAACCAGCGAGCAGCCAGAAGCGGCTTAAAGCATTCCCATTTCAAGGATTAAATGAGTTCAAGTCGGGAGCGAGGGAGGCGGAACGGGTTTATCTTGGGTCCCAGCCTCGCATAACTCAGTGGCAGTTATGAGGCCCAGGGACAGAATTCAGAAACAGATGCTTAACAAAAATATATAAAAACTGCACAAGACACACCAAGATAAATTTTAGAAAACGATATTTAAAAAATGACCTTAAAAGGGCTAACGATTGAATCACATAAAGATAGATATTTATTTTTTCTCCGAGTGCCCGGGAGATTGTAGACTACGTAGGCCAATCTTTAAGAACAAACATCGATAATGCGTAGGATCAGAGGTATCCGAGCAGGGTCAGGATGTCATTGTTTCTCGAGATGCGCGCACCAAATACGCTGCGGGATAAACGACCTCGAGGCAAACCGCGCTGCACCGGCACAAAGGCGTTTGTTATGGTCATTAATGCTTTTATTGGCCCCGAAACAGACCGAGACTCTGAAACTGAGAAACTGAAACCCAGAAGTTGAGTAGAAAACCCTGGCGAGGGCATGAAATATGAAATTTGAATCCTTTCGGCAGTGTCGAAGGTCATCCGGCAGCAATAAATTTGATCGAAACTGTGCTCTCGTTTTCATTCGAAATCTGTCCCAGGGTCATTGGCTTGACCTCTTTTTTTTATGGCCTATCGCAGTTATGCGAGGACATTATGAAATCCCTGGGAATCCAAGGCAGATCGAACTCTTTACCCGGCTGGAGACCAGGTTGTTGCTGGGCCAAGTTGCTGCCGCTTCTCCTTTTCCGCATAAAGTAATGCGATTAATGCAGAACATGCCCGAACTCTGAACTCATCATCATAAAATCGGAGCAACGACAACTACACACGCCTCACAGGATGGTTTGGGTGATAGACGGTGGGTGGAGCTAGTCCCGAGTCAAATTAGTGCGATTCCAGATGAGACCCCGCATAACCCCATCCACGCTGTTTCCATTCACTGGGGCCGATAATAGCAATGAAGTAGAAAATCCCGAAAAGCTCTGGAGCGCATAATGATGAGAAGATGGGCATTCGGGAATGGAATGACAGGAGAGTCTGGAGTGGGAGGATATCCACGGAGGGGGCGGATGGGCCCGGGATAATGCCCGGCATCTGAAATGCCAACGAAACGGAAAACTAATTCCGTCGTTTGTGTCTTAAATGGCGAGGCCGAAAACAAAAGCTGGTTTGGCGGGGAGCACAGTGGATTGGGTGCGTGGGGGAAACCTAATTAGCTAACAGCCCTCCGACAGTGAATCCTAAGAAATCAGATACAAGAAATTATATATTGAAATCCTGAAGCAAATATTTCGGGTTGGTCTTTGTGAGCTATAAGTTAGTGAAATATTAAAATGAGTTCGTTTAGCAGTATTAAATATTATTAATATTTTTCTAAGTTAAAAACCCCTATTTTCTTTCAAAAAAAGAAACCAATCTCTACCACTGTACAGGAGAGTTTTCCAAGCCAAGGCACGTCTTTACTTCGAGGTTGGGACTTTTCCGGGATAAACGTTTTCCAATAAAAATACGGCTTTGGTAGTGGCCCGGAAATTCGGTTTTCGTCAGCCTCCTGTACGGCCTGTGTGCCGGAATCCTGCCAATCTCAATCTCAATCGCCGTCCCAATACCAGTTCCTGGCGGCCCCAATCCCGATGCTATCGCGTTCGATTGTTGATGGAAGCTGCGGGCCAGGATGTCGGTCGGAGGTCGAGGTGGCACACGATGGGGCATTAAATTGTATTAAAATGCGCAACGCACACACGTCTATGGGCTCTACTAGCTAGTGGGCTCTACCAACCCCAACACCCACTCACGCCCCGAAAAGTGGTCCCTGAGCGCCTTGGCTAAAAGACGGCATTTATTTTTAGTCGCCGTCGCCGGTGAACACGGCCAAAGTTTTTATAGAAAGGGACGCCGGGGGACCGATGTCGTCGGATTCCTGAACAAATGGTATTTTATTTATTTTTATTGGCAAATGTCAACGAGGCGTCGCTTCCTTTGTTGGCCGCTGAGTTTTAATTCTGGCAAGGGTCTTCGTCTCCGTATCCGTCTCCCGGTTTATTGCCAGCCCCATGGAATAGTTTCGCTAATGTATTTCGGTCTTCACATTAAGACCAAAGAGCACACTTCACCAGCGATTCACTTTGAATTTGATTTGATTTTCGGTTAAAAGTTGAAATTGTTTTGGCAATTTTTAAGTAGCAGTAGGGAGTTTATTGTTTGGTTGCAGCTTTGCTTTGTTTATTATTTAAAATTATATAAAAACAATGAAAGAGTTTAAAAATATATTATATATCCACTTAAAACACTGCTATTAAATGGAATAAAATATGGTTTTACTTTTGATTGAATTTTAAAAAGGTAGAGTTTAAGCTAAAAAATATTTAAGACAAAAAATGAAAGTCATTAGAATCTGAATTTGAATTAATTGTTTATACATTTTGGGTTTTTATCTTGATTTAATAAAATAATAATGACTTAATAAAGCTGAAGTTTTATTATCAATTTTAACAAAAAGCCTTAATTCAAATATATTTTTATGAAGAGAATGTTTTAAATGAAACTAATACATTTTTAAAAATTAATATAAAGTGGCTTTACTTATCCGTTCCCTTGGATTTCTGTCCAATACAATTTTACAAATTTAAATAAATATTTTTTTATTCACAAAAACAAATTTAATATTAAAAATTTTAACTAAAAGTGATCATTTTTTTTCAACTTTTAGCTGAAATTCCCAAACAAAATGCCGTCGGCTGTCAGCCATACAAATTCATGGCGCAGCTGAAGAAGAAGAAGAAGCAGTCCAGAGCGGAATTAATGAAGCGCCATCATGGCCCAGTCGAGCAAGAAGAAGATGTAGCAGGCAGCAGCAGAATTCCATTGGAATGTGTGAGATTGGGCTGCGTCGACAGCGCTGCCAGCGTCCACGGCAGCCATCATGGATGTGAAAGAGAGCGTTGCCCCTCTCGCTCGTGCCCACGGAGGTATGCGACTTCGGAGCGGCCATGCCTGGCACTCACCTGCGACGGCGGCTGTTGTGAAGTTCTTGCGACGTGAGCGAGCGATTTTCGGGGCTTCCGAAATTCAGAAAACCAAACAGGACCAGCTGCAGGATGGCCAGAGGAACGAGGGGTGCGTTTGTGCGGCCCAATTTTATCCAGAGTCTCTGCGACTGCGTTGTTCTGCAAAATAAAATCTACAAAAAAGGAGAAAACATCTAGGGGTAAGTGAAGAATATTAGGGGTTGTTCGCCCGAAAAAGGGATGGAAGTATCCTGTGGATGCGCAGAAAGTTGATACACAAACCAAATAGTTGATGTCACCGCTAAGCTACTAGAACAGTTAGGCCAATTGGACGGCTAACTAAGCTTATAAGAATTCCATAGAATATTTTATTTTGAATAAAAGTTAAAAACTTATTCCGCTTTTTAAATTTTTTAACAGTTTTTTGTGCTTGAATATTTACATTTATTTTTTGTGAGAAACTGAAACCGCAAATTATTCAAAAACCCAACTGCTCTCTTGCTTACCAATACATCCAAAGGAGGACGCTCTCTTCCAATTGGACTTTTGTCAGTGTGTGCGTGACTTCTCTCTTAGCTTGGCTCTCTTAAGAGCCACTTTTTGCGCATGTATTGGTGAGAAAACTCGCTTTGTGGACTCTCTTTTAGCTTAACTTTCTCTTCCGCTGCCTGCACCTGTTCACGTGGCGCTCTTTATCGAAGCCACACTCTCCCAGGGTTTGTTTTTCTTTTTGGCGCGTTGGCCTGGCCTGGCTCCCCAATGTTTTTGTTTGCCTCAGAGCTCGCCCTCCATAGTTTTTCTCTCTTCACGCTCCCCAGTGACAGTTGCCATTTGCTTATTGGACGCCACTGCACTTTTCCCAGCTCCTTGCCCCGCACGCTCCGTGCCTCTTGCCACGCAGCTTGAAATCTTGTTAGAATTTAATAGAATCTCAAAAGTCCTGCGCAAGTTTCGCTGCTTTGGGGAAATGCAATTTCCTCTTTTTACGATACCTCCTTAGCCATTCTTTTTCGCTGGGTTTTTCCGAGCTTTTCCACACGCCTTGCTATTCGCCTTTTTTGGGCTTGCATTCATTTTTTTCTGGCGGGGGTCTGAAGGATGCTGGAGCGGAATATAATAAGTTTTTCGCTCGCTTGGCAACAAAGTTGGATGCATTGTGGGTGGCAAATGCCAAACAATGGCAGTGCTCTGCTTTTCGCTGATAAGGATGATTGGGGCAATCGCACAGCACAACAACAATGTTGATCAGCATCCGAAGAGAGAGAAGTAAGAAGCAATTCCCAATCGGCTGTTATTCCAATTGGATATTGTCAAGAGGGTTCGTGTCTCGACTGAAAGTGGAATACCATTAAGGTCAAATTAATCGAAATCGGCCATTATCGAGCGGCATTATAATAACAAAGGTCCAGGGACAAGGGCGGCGAAATCGAGATAACGTCCCGATTGCATTTCCATTCGTCACAGTTTCCAGTTTCGCGCCTTCACCCACAATACTCACAATCAGAAATGAATTTCTTACAACACGTGTGGAAATGTTTAAATATATCTCGTTGTTTGTTATTGAAACAATGCGCCTACACAAACATTTACGTATATTCCATGGTGTGTTTTCGCTTTTTGTTTACTTTGCACATTTGAATAGAGTGACTATCGAGCGAAGAGGTCAAATTTATTCATGACCTTCAGGGCTTGGAGAAAATAGCGTTAAAATTTACAAAAAAAAATTTTAAATTTATTTTAAAAATAATTAATATTCATTGATTCCAATATTCCTTTTTATGTCATTCAATTGCCTGTAAATAACAATTAAAATTGAACACTTTGTATAAAAACGGGTTCGAACGCGTATGTTAGCCTCCTGAAACCAGTTGGCATTTAATTGGCCACAAATCCTTATCCTTAGCTTGTAAAACATAAATGCCAAACAAGTAGGTGCAAAGGACAATGAATAAACCGGGGAAACACTAAAAGCTTAAGACCGAAATCAATCTGTAAATTGGCGCAGATATCCCCGGCAAGGGGACATAAATCAAGGGGACCAGTTACTCGCCGGACGGAAGATGAAGCCACTTGACGGGATTCCCAACTGCCGGTGGAGGAGGACTAGCAGCGGCGGACGTCATAATCGTTTCAGTGACAAAGCATAAAATTTGAGTTTTACGATTTAACTGGGCCATAAAGCAACCAATTAGTGTCACTGCCAAAGACACTCGCTGGAGAGGGGCAGTGCTGCCACGGGGGCGTGGCAGTGCGTGTGGATTGAATACCTGCCCTGCCTACGGTTATGAGTGTGAAATTCGTTTAATTGCTTTATGATAATTCTGACAGCTCATTAAAAAAAGTCAAGAAAGCTTGAGAGGAAAACTTTTACTGAGCTCCTGTATTTGCATTTTCACTGAAATTGTTCGCCAGTTGTATCTGGTAGCGTTTTCCGTTCAAGTGGCTTTTTAAGGAGCTGCCTAATATACGACTTCCCCTCAGCCACAATACTGGGAGCTGGTAGCTTCCAGTACCAGAACCAGAATCTGAACCGGGCCCACGGTAGGGAGTCATAAAAGTGACGACAATTTCGTTTTATTTTTTATGACAAGCGTCGCCTGCGGTCTCCACTGCCTCGCCCCGGCCAGGTGTGTCCTCCGATTCGCATGTGTGAGGGGGTGGGGCTGTTCTCCCTCCACCTGGCAGGTGAATAATTTTCATTGCCGTAAATCACTGTGTCAATTGTTGCCGTAATGGCCGTCCAATGGATGTACACCAAAATGGAGACATCGAAGAGGATTTATAGTCAGGGAAGCGATATGGAGGGGTTGTTCAAAATTATATTTACATGCTTAAGGCGTATGAGGAAGAAAAACGTGATACTGTCAAGGGTTTTCCAAATTTTGATTGATTTTAATGACTTTTTTTTAATTAAAATAAGTTAGTAAATTATATTAAGCATGCTTTTAAAAGTTTGCAATTAAAATCAGAATAAATTCCTTATCGCAATCAAGTCCGCGCTATGCCAAATGCATTAGGGCCTTGAGGCCACAACTAATTGCATTGCCAATTATGAGTTATGGCCACAACGAAGTCGGCCTATCAAATCGATTGCAAGTTGGCTGGGAAAGAGCCAGCAGCAAAGATACCAACCGGCAGCGGTAATGTTTATTTGAAAATCAATCTTCATTCGAAGTGCGCGTTCCCGGCTTCGGCACCTGAGCCGGGTCCTCCGCCTCCTCCTGCTGCTCCACCTCCTCCTCGGAAACTCCTTGAATAAATAAAATGGCCAGCAGGCCGAACTGGGTGCAGGAAATTTCAAACAAACACCGAAAGCCGACGAGCATGGAGAACCCCGAGGTGAGTTGGATAAACAAAAATGAAGAATGTTCGCTGATTGACATTATCCGGTGCACACGCAGTCGGGAATAGTAATTGGGGAATGCATTTCCATTCCGAACCCATATCCTCATACAAGTTTCCCAGCCCGCACCTGTACTGTACCCAATCCCATTCAGGGTTTCCGCTGCGGCCATATTCCCAGTCCAAAACCCAGTCCCAGGGGCGAGTGGCAAGTATCTGTAGTATCTGGGTATATGCAGCGGCAATATCTGATTAACATGGATGTCCAGCGTGGAGAGCAACCGGGTTTATTAAGCCATAAATTAAGCGAGAATGCTTCTGTAGTTTTTTGATGGATTGCTGCTGTCACTTTTAAGCTCCGACTCTGAAATGAAACCAAACTATTTGTGCTGCCCCATCGCTTTTTGCTTTCAGCGCTTCCAGCTAAAAAAAAAAGAAAAGAGCGCAGCAAAAAAATTATTTAATTTAACTAAAAGCTTTTCTAGCAGCTGCTGTCGTTTCCCCATTTTCCACTCTATTTTTTTCCGGTGCATTCCTTGACAAAATGAAATATTTAAAGGCCGAGGGAAAAAACAAAATCGAGGCTAGGAAACTTGAAATATTTTCCGCAGTCCGCATTATCGCAGAGTGTGTGTATCTGTGTGAGTGTGTATCTTTGAAATGTCTAAAAGCATTTTTCCTCTGTAGTTTTCTTTTCTGGTGCTTGCCAGTCCGTCTTGCCAGCTCTTTGTTGTTTTCCCTTGTCTATTTTATATTCTTTGATTTCGTTGAGTTTTCCATTTCCAATGGCATGCCCTAGAGGCTACAATTACAGGGAGAAAAAATTATATTTAAAAATTATACAGGATACATTGAAATTAATTTTTATTTTTAATTATTTAAGATTTTTTTGCTTGAAAAACAACTATTTCTTGTAATATCTTTTTGGAGGTAGAACCTTAAATCTATTTTTTTTTCCAAGTCCATATCCTCATCATGACAATGGTTGTCCTTTGTGCCATCTATTTTGTTTTTCTTTTTGCCAATTTTTGTATCCCCTCCCCGCCCTCTTGGCCATTTCCCAGATACACCTTCTCACTCATTCTCAACTCGTACTCCGAAGTCGTCTCCATAGCATTTTCGTTTCGCATCATAATTTTCCCTCCAACGCCGACGACAACAAAAGAAAACGACATTGAAAATCACGTTCCTTGATGACGGAGAAAGGAACTGCGAATTCCTGGTAGCTTTCTTCCTTTCTACCATCCCCCCTGCCTCCCCCTTTCGGCAGCCTTTCGAGCCAACTCAACCGGCCGGAACGCCCACATAGTTCGTGTTACGTATTTAGTTGGGACCCGACCTCCTCCCAGGGACCAGAAGGTTTATATATTGGTCTCCAAGGCCCCACTTCAGGCGGGGACTTTTGAAATGTACTGTAAGCAAAGCACGCGCCAATAAAAGGGGAGTATCTGGGGGATGGGGGAGGGACAGGCTTTAGATTTCCGTTACGTGTTCTTGGCCATTTAGCGAGAGCCAGCCGATTACATTTATCGTCTATTAATTTAATGCAGCAACTAATGCTGATCTTCTAAAAGAAAATCGTTTCACTTAACGGGAGGATGACTTTCCTTCTAACTAGTTTTGGAAATTATTTAGAAAAACTTTTAAAAAACTAGTCTAAAACTTGATTAAGAAAAGTTGAGTTTTATTTTAATCCAACAAACAGAATAGTTTTCTTAAGTAAAACGATAAGAAAAGTATATGGCACAGTGGCCATTGACTTTATTTAGTTTGGCAAGTATTTGCATTAGTTTAAGCCATCTGGGGAGCGGGAAAAAGCTTAACGAAGGGAAAATTATGACTGACTGATTGGCTCACTGATTGGCCAACTGGGGAGACAGTGAGACGTCGTGGAGATGCCAAGGATGATGAAAACGAGGACCGGGCCACGACTGCAGAGGACCAGGCCAACTCGGGATTCAATTTGTCTGAGCGGCTGCTTATCTGAGTATAAAAGCAAGTGAGCCAGCAACTGAACTGCATTGCCAAATACACAGAGAGAAATTCAGAGTAGAGAAGGCTTAAAAAAAAGATATTTTAGAATAAACTTGTATGCCTTTCTATTGGAAATTGTCTTTACTTCTTTCCAATTAGTTTGAATATTTTTAAATATTTTTTCCCCTGTGATTTATGTGTCTTTTCTATAATGCAAAGATGATGAAGTCGACGACTGGGTTGCCATGATATGGCCACCGCGTGGCTGCTCACTGCATTCAATTCCTCGCCAGCAGCAGCCATCGTGCCACACAGATACACACACACAGGCTCAGATACAAATACCCCCTCACAGATACAGATACAGAGACAGATAGGGGCCACATGTGTTTCGGTCTTTGGCTTGCATCCCGCCACCATATGGCCTCGCATCCACGGAGAACTTTGGCGTGGCGTCATGTGCGAGAATTTTCCGCGGAGGAAAAGCAGAGGAAAAGCGCAGGGAAGCGAAGCAATTTCCCAGGGGTCGTGGCAGCTTTTCCTGCTAGCTGGTCCGCACATGCGCAGAACTGGGTGGTTGGAATGTGGCAGTGTCGTGGGGCAACCTAAACTGGTTTCGGGCCCCGGCCACACGCGATGCCCGATAAAGGCTGAATTTGCACTTTACTTAAAAAGAGGCCATTGGCCAATATGCCAAATTACCTTTTTAAGAGTTGAATAAACTTAAAAAAGGAAATTGCAGGCAACCAAACTATTGTTATTAAAATGCAATTAATGACTTTAAATAGGTTTTAATTAATTTCTAAACTAATGCTTGGCCAATCCTCCACTCCTTGTAGGAAGAAAGTCACTCGTTCAACCAGCAACATTGAGAATAAAATATTTAAACTTATGGCCAAAACCCGTTCCGTCCCACCATCGATAGGGAATTATTTAACCAATGCCCGAGCGGCTTAACGTAAATTGCAATTTATGCCCAGCGGCAGGCCAGGTTGCATCAGTTAACCAGTTTGACGACCTGGGAGAGGCCCGAAACGGGGGCTCCATTTTGCCTTTGAATGAAGTAATCACAATTAATAATTGCCCGATCGTATCGAAAGTCGCAGTCGCAATCGGCAATCTGCAATGTGCATCTGTTATTTTTGGGTTCGTTGATCCATTCGAATGGCCGCCAGGCGACGCCATCATCGAGTGTCCGGGACTCGCATTTGGTTTCCATAATTTTTACGACCCTGGTCACTCCCCTCCGGTCAACTGGGGAACTATTAGAAGAGTATGAAAAATATGAAAAGCTATAGAATGGAAGCTGCAGTCCGGAATCAATTGTCATAACAGACAGTCCATTTAGAGGCCTCTCGGACGACAGCCGAGACGGACTAGTTTATGAGGGCAAATATTTGTGTTGCCTGTCGGCATGTGGCAGCGGAAAGATACAGATCCCAGATCCATATGCCGCTCAGTCCAACCCGTTCAGTCTGGTCGAGTACAAAAAAATATATAGGATGTAGAAAATTGCAATTTATATGGCTGTCATAAACCGGGGCCGCCAGGCATCACTTTCACTTTTCCGGGAATATTAGGGACGCTTCATTTTTTGACCAGAAACTCTGTCTTTATTTTTTTTTTTTGGTAATTGCATTCAGAGCGTAGCCGTCGCAGGTCGGAGGTCTGAACCACACGAAACCCTAAAACCCTTTTTCGGTAGGAGATGGCCTCTGAAGTTCTATTTCCGCAGCAGGGAATGCAGGTTGACAATTTTAGTTTAGGTTTTTTAAAAAAATATTTAAAGAATAGTTTCCCTTTAAATTAGTTGAAAAGCTGACCTGATTTTGGGACTTGTCTATATTTTCTTAGAAGTCTTAGCTAAAAGCGTTTCTATTTTCCCCACAATTTTATCCCTGGACTTGGGCCCATCGTGACCCTTGTTACGATAACAACGAGCATACATAAATAAATGGAAACACGAGTGAATTCCACAAATCAACACTTTGGAGTCGGAGGGGAAAATGGACTTTCGTTTCGATTTCCATTTGCCGCCTGCAGCTAATCTTCTGAAAACGAAAAAATATTAATGAGCCAAAAGTTTCTCCGTTCGTTTCGCCGGGGCCTTTTATGGAAGTTCGATACTGAAAGATACAGATACATCTGACAGCCGCCAGCTAGTTGGTTGGCCTCCATTATTATGGCTGCCACGGACATGTTTGTCATTTACAAGTTGCGCGGCCAATTACTTTGAGGACTCCACTTTGAGGAGGACTCCGAGAAAATGGCTCCGGCCCTGGCTACGTCTCTGGCTGCTCATTATGAAAATGAAAGCAGTTTCGGGGCCGGAACAGAGCTGGGCGTTGTTCCAGAATTTATGCACACGAGCATATTCCATTGGGGAATTCGAGGTCGGTCGATTGCCGTCTGTTTGTCTATCAAACAAGGAAACTAAAAAGTTTTGCAAAAGGCACACAAGCACCATGCTCGCATGGGGCGAGCTGAAAAAAATGGAAAGGAAAATTGATGACGCCGTTGATGGGAACGGGGGCAGATGGCTCTGATGGAAAAAACAAACAAATACCGCAGACAAAACAAGCAGCGGCCACTCGACAGGACCCCGACTACAGTGGGTGTAGGTGGGTGGTGGGGGCGTAAAATGGCGAACATCGGTGGCAAATTGAGGGAAAGGGTGTGGCCCATTCGAAGGACATGTGGGCATAAAAGGGGGAGTGCGCTATACGGCGGCATAATCGAATGAGCGCCGGGTAATGGCTCGCACGGAAGACCCGCAACTGGACCCCATGGAATATGAATGCATATCGAAGACACTTCTCCGGAAAAGTACATATCCCTGGTGCGTGAGAGCGTCCTGGTCCAGTCCCTGGGAAGCAACTATGAATTTATTGTATTCCTGTTTTCCGCAAACACGAAAGCGCACTCTGAGAATAAGTTTGGGGCTTGGGCCGAAATGAATTGAAATAAAATGATAAGCGTGAAATAATAATGAAGAGCGTGTCCCGGCATAAATCGGTTTGTCCCTTATCCTCTCCACCACAGCCACCGGACTGGGAGGCGGGACTTGGGTCCTTTCTGGCCATTTCTGGTGTAATCCAAGTTATCGGCTGTGAAAAGTGTTTTACATACGACTCCGCTTGCCTGACCCGGGAAATGGAGCGTGGATCGTATGCATACACGAGCCATTTAATAAAATATAAAATATATCCAACCCCCAATAGAAACCACTTTAAAGGGGAATTATTTTAAACTTTATTTATTAAACCTTAAGTCATACCTCTCTTAATAAATATATTCCTGTTTTTTTGCAACCATTCCAGTTTGTTTATCCAACGACCCCTGGAGCGAGGACTGAACCCGCCGGCAGCTGCATCAGGTGAGCTTCAATATCAATATACGTATGCCAAATTAAAGTTATAATAATGGGGATTCCCATAAAACTCCATCTGGCAGCAGGCGAACTAACCAATTGAACTGAGCCGCAGGTGCAACTCGAGAGACTCACCCCACCGAGGCAGTTTCCATTTTTATTCGCCAACATGATTTTTGCTAAATTACATTTCACAAAAAAAGGCAACCGAGTGTGTTTGGCATATGAAATAGTTCAAGGAACAAAATTGTACCTTTTGCCATTTATTTTCCACATCCCCCAACATACACATATAGATCCCCATTCTGCTCGATATGAAAAAGGCAAAAGTTGATCAAATAAATGGCAAAATTTCCATATTCCAGCGATAAGAGCAGAAACGTGTAGCTCAAAGATTTCCATCAATCGAAGTCGCAATGGGAAATGTAGGAAAATGGCAGGGCAGGCGAGTAACAAGTTGTGCGAATCTCCTTCCTGGGTGGAGGGGAGGAAGGTCCTTGGGTGGCTGTCCTGAATTATTTTTTTCCTCCATCGGCGGGGTGGGGTGGCTGCGCGGGCAGGTACGGATGGCACAACCCTCATCGCTTAGCTAAGTAAATGGGTTGGCTGACGAACGTGACTTGGCCGGGCCCACCTTCTTTTTAGTTTCCTCATCGAGTCTCCCCCCCTGATACTGGCCGCCTCTGTTTTTGGTTATTTGAAGCACATGTCTCCTCTAGCTTCAGATATTAGCAATGGCTGGAACAGTGGGGACATTATAGAAGCTACTACTGATATTATCTAGTTTCTATCTACAAGTTTTTTAAACTATGATATTAAGTTCTTTCTCAGGGGCTATAAGGAGTTTTATGATTTTAGTTGTACTACCTATAGAAATATTGTATACATAGATATACTCCCAAAGCTTTACTGTTCTTCCATACCACTGTTCCCTGACATTGTATCTCTGCAGAAAGCCGACCAAAGCCAGTCACGATTCCAAACTAATGAGGAATACACGTAATTACATGTGGTTACGCAATATCAGAGCCCGGCTCCAGACCCTCCCTCCAGACCATTCTCGTACTGGGCTCCGTTCGAGGAATCAATGCCCTGAAGACAGCCCCAGAAATTTAATAAACACGCAAGTGCACGGAAGTAAATTATCCCGTCAGTCAATTATGTATGTAGCTCCGCCCCCACCAGAACCGACTCTGTATCGCCCCCTTTGTTTGGGAAGAGGGGGACTGATGTCTTGAGACGCCACATAAATACCTCGTTTATTTGCCCGAGTTGTGCCTGTGTGGCAAGTTGCCGTGCCGGCTTCATTAAACGCTTGCCACACTCGCTTCAATTGGTTGCTTTATTTGTGGCTTCAATTCGCCAGCTCTTGCCTTTTACCTTTGTGCCTTTTAATTAAATGTTTTCGCCTTCGATGCCGTAATTGAGGAGCATATTGTTTGCGAAAATAATAAAACTTTAATTGAAGCAGGTGAAAGTAGATAAGATAGCCGTAAAATAAAACTCGAAAGTAAAGGGGAGAGCCTCGAAACTAAATTAAACTAGACACCAACTAGCAATTAATTTCAGTTTATTTTTAAACGAAATTTTTGTTTAATTGCAAACCCCTTAGTGTCTATAAATCCAGGTGTCTTGGAACAATTATTGAATTTTTCTCACGCTGTCAGAAATATTTTTCTGGTATTTTTAAACTTTGTTTAAACAAATAAGCTATGTTCCAGTGGGCGGAATAGGAGGAGAAGGCTATCTATCGGACTGGCCATGTCTAAAAGCCTCTAAATAAATAATGAAATTTCGTCTGAGGCAGATAGCTTCATGTAAGTGGATTCGGTACTCCAACATTTCGGGGCAGATGTATAGAGGAGTTCATTTGAAATTTTAATCAGCAACTTCCAATTGCGCGGCCAAATTGAATTAATTAAACTAATTTCTTGGATACATTTGCATAGAAGCGGCTTTATCCTAGTCCTCGCCCGGGGACTGACTTGATTACATTAAGGATGCGCAGTTGGGAGGATGGAAAGGGTTCTGGGTTCAGGGCTTCATTAAGGGCCAGAAGGTGCTGGCAATTTACAAAATGCCCACGCCCGGGAGGCTGGCTAAAAAGCTGTCCTTCAAGTAAATTATTAATGGCCACTGGGCTGGAATTAAAAAGGATAAAAAAATATTTTAATAAATGTAAATAAATTATAAAAAATTTATATATATTCTAGAATATATCTCAGATATTTTAGTAGTACTGTTTCCCTAATAATTTCTCCCAGTGCATTTATTTTTCTTGCTTCTCTGTACCGATGTTTCGCTATATTTGAGGCAATATTTGGATGGCTGCTTCGCCTTTGATTTATTTGCGTCAGAATCCCGAAGGCCGCGGCTAATTAAACACACGGAGTATGAAAGCACCTCCGGCGCACCGGACGGGACGGATCCGAGATCCAAAATCAACAAAAAATTCGAATCAGCCACGAATCGTAAACAAACTTTTGCCGGCCAGACTGGTGGGTGGGTGGTTCTCCATAGAGGCTGATGGATGGATGGATGGATGGGTGGTGGAGTGGTGGTGGGGTGGGGTGGTGTGGCAGCGAACATAAACAGCTGCACACCGAACGGGTTCAAGTTGAATGGATCGGGTCGAAGCTACATATTTGGATTTCTGTTTCGGACAATGTACCGTTATGGCTTGTGGCACCTATGCCATCCGAAAATCAAAACTCACGTAGCACCCGAACCTGAAAAAGAAATCAACCACTATGGAAGGGCCGCTTGCTTACTCTTTCCCACTAGTGGGATGTGCGCACATGGTGCTTGCCTCTCTGTCGCACTGCCAGGTAGGGCAGCTCCTGATGCGGCGGCCATTGAAGCTGGCGGCCATTCCCCGGTACCAGTACCAGCAGTACCCCACCCTCTTCTGCCACATTCCACATACCAACTGCGCAAAAAAAAACAAATCTCGAGCGTACAACCTGAAATAGACTTGAGGCGAAAAAAGAAAAAAATTAAATTTATATTCTAGGCTCAGACGGCGACCAAGCCCCCCCTAGAACACCACGCCTCTGACCTGACCCCTCGTAGGAGTAGATAAAAAACCGAAAATTTGTTTGTGCTGCTCTCCGGTTGCACACAATAAGTGAGTTTTTTGTTTGTGACTCATATTATTTTTGTATAAGCGTGCTGGGGCACATTTATTTACATTTTTTAATGCACTCCATAAAGAAAGCAAAGCACAAACAAGTTTCCATTCGTTTTATTTTGCAGCGCAGGTTTATTTGTTTTTAAGTGGCCACAACTTGGCTCACAGACATATTTTGAATGAGATTTGTATATTATTGTTGAGTTAACATATTGTTTGATATAATACTAGAGATATGGGGGGAAATATTAAATATACTTATCTTGATTTATGACGGCTGGTAGTTCTCCAGTAGTAGCTGCATTGCAACCTTTAAATTCTTTCTATCCCCCGAAGAAAACCATGAATTATGAATGATGACCTTTGTTGCAGGGGCAATTAACTTGCGGTGCTGCAGCGTAATGTCTGCCAATCCCAGATAGAGGGGAGATTCAGATTATAACCCATAGAGTTGGGGAATCGTGCAATGAACTTGGGGCTTTCAGACTTTATTCAAGGCTACACAATCAGAATTTTAATATTCTCTGATAAAACATTAAAATTCCTTAAGTGTGAAAATAATTACCGCTACGACAGCTACTTCATACAAAAATCCTTTTCTATCTTTAGATATTGATTTGTTAAATATAAAATATTCTTGCTGTGTACTGTTAGGAATATCCCAGGGATATGGTGGCATAGAAATTGCTACATTTCGTGGCAATCCAAGTTAGTCTGCTCTCGAGTTTAGGGGCCAGAGAGCTATTCGCGTTGCCCGTGGGGATTGGGCAAACTTTTTGAAAAATTCATATTATTTCTAAGTAGTTGCGGGCACAAACTATGAACTATGAACCACCGACTGGTGGTCCACCCAGTCCACGCCCCCTGCGTCGAAAACAAAATTGCGCGGCTTAGTGCGCACCACGAACTTTGGGGAGCAATCGCGGTGCCTTATCAGGGGGATTTATGCCAAATGATGGCAGATTGCCAAGCTGCAGCTACAAACTTCAGGGGGGGGGGGCTTTAGATACGGATACGGATTCAAATGGCACTCGCTGGGTAGCCACCAGGGGCAGGCAACATGCTTTTTAGTGTGTCTGTCTCTCCTCCTGGTTTTCTTTCTTTTCTTTTATTTTCATTCATTTTTTCTGCTTATTTTTTCTTGGTTGTTTTTTACAATTTTCTCTCGAGTATAATGGCTAGAAAAAGTTGCGCCAATCCCCAAGGCTTCCAGAGGTGGCACAGTGGTTGGGTGGTTAGGGGGAATCCCAACCCAAAAGAATAGAGTTTTTGTTTTAAATAATTATGTCTGAAATATATTTATTTATCACCTCTTTTTTTCTATAGTTCTTCTTAAATTATTCCTTTAATTCTATATTTAAGAATTCAATATTTAATATAAAAACCACAGTGCGGCGCTTGACATACGGCTTCTGCTTCTGTTGGCATTGCCACCGTGGAGCCAATTTGTTGCGGTTCATCAATATGCCACGCCACACACATCCAGCCTGGCCACAGCCACATCCAGCCACGTCTCTAGCCACGTCCATATATCCACATCTGTATCCATATCCAGGCAGCAAGCACCAACCCAGAATGCCAGTCGGAGCCAGGCGCAAACGGATACGGATGTGGTTGGGTGGCTCTGCACTCGCTGCGCAGATTTGCTGTCAATTCTGCCCCCTCCTCCCCTCAGTCCCCCGTTGGAATCAAGAGGGGCTGGGGTGGCAGGAGGCTGTAGCCCGTCGAGAAGCTTAAGTGGCTTCACGTACTGCTGCTGAAAAAAATATGTGCATAAATTTAAAGAATCTCAATTTACTTGGTCCGTGTTCGCTTGTGTGCCGGCTGCTGCAAGATTCTGTCAGTTTCTTCTGGTTCTTCGATTCTCCAATTCAAT